CAAGCATATTACCTATGAGCTCTGCAGAGGTTCTGTACAGGGTTGGCTTTGTTTGTTTGCTTTCAAGTATACAAGGTCAACCTTTTACTAACTCAGCACATAAATCAGCGCTGAGCCTTGTCATTGAATGCTAATAGACAACAGAACCCAATGCCCTGCTTCAGAGTATAACTCAACTTCTAATGTGAAGATGCAGAGTAAGAAGTCCCCAATACAGGCCCCCAGTTAAACATTCTACAAATATAATAGCCAATAAAAATGGGAGGAACACAAATAAAAACCCATATGGAGCTGTGCTTTAATGATGATAATTTTAACAATACTCATAATGATGATGATAATAATAATAATAATAATAATAATAATAATAATCACCATCATCATCATCATCATAATACACAAATGGAGCTTCTGGTTGGCAACATTTCTGAAATGAGTTTATTATTCAGTGTGGATTGTGCATACTAGATCTGCTTCATAGCTGTCAACAGGTTTAAAAATAATAGGAACACTTCTTTACCAAGGAGAAGTTCTAAGCCTGTCACCTCCAATATGGTCTCAGAAGCCACAAGGACTTCAGATTCAGGTTGATCAAGATTAGTAAAGTGGAAAACACATTTTTGCATTAAAAAAAAATCTATTTTCGACAGTTAGGAATTGAAGGAACTAAAAGGGTAGTAGCAATAGAAAGCCAATAGATATATAATTTGGGTATGAGGTGTACAAAGTAATTAGTTGTAGTGCATGTCTCTTTTTTACTTTCCATTTCCAGGGACATGACTCCAAAACCTGGACTGTCCTTGGAAATCCAGGACAGTTAGTTTCATTTGTGTTGCTTTACTGAGGCAATTGGGCTGTTCACTTTGTAAGAGAATTTTCACTTTTAAGGGAATTGCCCTAAGCTTAGTAAATGAGAGGAAGCTCTACTTATATCCATCATCCAATCATGTGCAAGACATTTATTTTTTATTTTTCTTACACCTGATTTGGTTGTCTTTGCAATAGGAATTTGGACCACATGCACCAAGCTAAGCTGTTTCTCTGCACAGTGAAAACTCCCTTGCAAACTGAACAGCCTATTTGCCTTAAGTAAGTCAACCCCTATGGCTCAGAGAAGCAGCTCAGGACACAACCAAGAGCCACCTGTGTGGCTCTCTTGATTAGAAAACCCATATCAGAATGTACCAAATGACACTTACCTACAGCCCAGTGGCTACCCCTGGGGGAGATTTTAGAGAGAGAGGCTGTGTCAGCATGCTGCTGGGAAGGAGCAGCCTCTGAATGGACCTTGAAGAGGATGAGGGAGCAGAGAATAAGGGAGAGTAGGGTGCGGTATCTCCAGAAGACCTGCGCTCTCTCCATCATGGAACTCTATGGGACGGAGCTGTCCGGGGTGCTGAAAGGAAGAGCCGACGCCGGGCGCTGTCTGTGGGGCTGAAGATGAGAGCGGAGCTGTCCGCGGTGCTGAGCTGAAGTCTATGAGAGTTAGACTGGCAGTGCAGATAATCTTCTTCCTCCCCGGATCATGTGTAACTCTTCCACCTCCTGCTCTCCCAGCAGCATTTATAAGTGAAGGAGGGATGTCTGCTGTCAGAATTTATCAGGCTGGCACCTCCTCCACAAGTACCTTCCTGACCTCCCCTAGCCATTGACCTGGTATCTACCAACAACACTCTGTCTGAGTCACCTATGCCAATATCACCTACAGCCCCTGTCAATCAAATCTTATTGCTATTTGTTTCCAGTCATCAATCTTCCTCTGCTGCCCCTTTCCCAATACGAGTGCTAGCGTGTTCATTCTCACACCTTTCACCAAATCTTCATCACCAGTGTTTGCCGGAGACGCGCGTCGTACGTAAAAACACGCTCAGCAACGAATTAATGGATGAGGGGACAGTTTACAAGTGACACTATAGATACATGACATTTTATAATTAAATTAGCCCAGTTGACTCACCAAGGGCCCCCGTGTAGCGAGCGGCGAGTCTTTATCTCTACACACATTCTTCAATCCGCTTATTGTCAGAGCCAAATGTCAGCTATGTCAATAATTCTACAACCTAATATTGCTTCTGTGAAGTTCTCTGCTCTAGGAAATGTAAAAATTAACCCTTGCAGTGGGGCTACCCCTGCACTGCAAGGGTTAACGGCTTGTTTTAGTCTAGGGGGTAAAACAAAGAAAATATGCTCATCTTATCCTCGGTCCTGCTTGGCTGCTAGACCGGCAGCCCTTTATCCTCCGGGGCTCTGGTGGTCTAAGGACCTGTGACGTCATCACATCTAATGCAGCTGTATTAGACGTGAGGATGCCGAGGGACATTCCACCTCCAGAGCAGAGAGAGGGGGAGAGAGATGAGTGCTCATCACTGCAGGACCGAGGATCAGTGTATTTGCTTTATTTTAGCCCCTAGAACAAAACAAGCAGGTAACCCTTGCAGTATGGGGGTAGCCCCACCGCAAGGGTTCATTTTGTGGTTTCCTGGAGTTCCTGTTTAAAGTGGAAGCAAAGGGAGGAAAAAAAAACCGATTGGTAGTCTTTCTATGGCAGAAGGGACTGTGTAAAAGCTTCTGTTTAATATTCGGCAATTTCTTTTCTTCTCTATGCTGAGCCACACATGTACAGCTCAGCACACATACACGGCAGGAGCATGACACTGGAGGGGATCAGTTTGGCAATCACTCCAAGACAATTCATAATGGAGTATTTTTCTCTGATGGTTTCCAGTCTTATACCCCACTCTCACAGAAAGCAAGCTATGATTCTGATGAAGAAGGTTTGCCCCTGAATCTTGCCTGACTCCGGCCGGTGGACGGTGATGTGACTGGATGCAACCATGGTACATGGTTGGTGCGATACCATGTTGGGTTAACAGACAGTGTGGCCTCTTGTTTGTTGTTAATGCGTGATGAAAACGTTTGCTTTTGAGTACATATATCCCTTGTTTTATTTCTTTTAATAAACAATTTCACACACGGAGGTGGAGCTCTGTTCCCTTTCGTTTGCTAATATGCCATACATTCTAGCACATTATGGCTAAAAGCTTCTGGAGGGCCCTTTTTTTTTTAACCAGAGTTTACTTTCCACTTTAAAGACCAACCATGAGGTGCAATGTGCAGTTACTCAGAACAGTCAATATGATTTCACTTTAATGTATTGAGATTAGTTAAAAGAGAGTTATGGGGTAACCTTTTTATCCCATAGTTCTCTTTAGGGTCACGGGAGGACATATATTAACCTCCTCCTGTGACCCAAAGCTCAGTATATAGAGGGCTATTGTAAGCTATATAGCGACGCAGCCGGGACGAGATACCGACAATACTGTCGAGATCCACCCCATTGGCTGATTGACAGCTGGCTCTGCCTATCTTGAGGCAGAGCCAGCTGTGCCCGCCCCCTCCCCCGTCCATTCCTCCAGTTAGTGCTGGAGGATCGGAGTGGTGGGAATCCCTGCAGGGAGCGGTGACTGGCAGACACCGCTCTCTACAGGGAGATGATCGGGAAGTGAGCGAGCAACGCTATGTGTTTGCTGACTTCCCGATCAATAGAGCCGTCGTGTGACAGCTTCAATGTCTCTAACTATCAGGATGAGTGAAAATCACTATTAAATAAGTAACCTTACTGATGTGTGTTAATGCATTAGAGACTTTGTTTCTATGTGTAATTTGTAATGATATAATTATGTAGCTGGGGCACCGTATTTGCTCATTAATAGTATTCAGTTGACCAGCCTGACCATACATCATCAATGGCACCACATCCCTGTAATAATAATTGGGACATTCCCTGGCGGGGTTCCTGTTCACACACACATGTAAATGCCAAAATACTATGTCAATTACATAAAGGAATGTAGTTTTATATAGGGATATATTTACAATTGTAATACATGTGTATTTGAAGAACTTTTCACAGTATGAATTCAATGTGGGTTTCTTTTTTCTGTTGTGTGTAACTTAGGAAGATCTTCCTCATTTCCAGAAGAAGCAGCGGTTGTCACTGTGAAACATGTACAGCATTGCCTTTGCCACATCAGAAGTGTATAGATGGTAGAACAATAGAAACATTTAGTTTTCATGGTTGTTGCTGACTGGTGGTGTGAAATGAAGCAGCATTTTGTAGAATAACTTATGGGGGAATTCGTAATGTGCAAACATCCTTCAACAATAGAAAAATCCCGCCACACACTGTAGATCATGCTGGAAAACTTTTTATTGCAGCTCACACTCAGCACAGTGCTGCCTTCGGTCTGCCTCTCTAACGCATTTTACGCTATCTCAGGCTTAATCATAGAGGAAGAAGCGGACTGAGACAGGAGACATATATAGTCTTGGATACAGGTGTTCACATTAGGCCAAACAAGAAGTTAAAGTGGACATGATACATAAAGCATAAAACACAGGTAAGCCATATATCACATCCATACATAATATGTTCATTCCCCTATGTCTTGCCATGAGGTAGAGGTGTTACAGTCTTTTGGATCTGGGTGCAAATGTCTTTAAAACATATTCACATTTCTAACTATATGTTAAATAAAAGGGAGGCATGTGTATAATAACGACATGATGTATCATTGATGCAGCATCTGAAAAGTCCCAGTTGATAAAAGGTTTACTTCTCATTACATATGCAAGCTCTGCTTCCTGCTAAGTAGTCTGGCTTCAACACAAACAGATTGCAATAGGACCAACTGTGTCCAAAGACAAGGGAGGTCGAATGCAGCCTCAGAACAACCATCCAAACACAGCAGAAGTATTGTGCAAGGAAAGCATGCTGCAGATGCAAACCAGATATGGAAAAGCAAAGCACTAAATCTAACATGGTCGGTCTGATCAAAAACAGATCTTCCATAGTCTGTAATGAGATAAGCACCCACAATGCTCCCTGTTTCCAGACGTCTTGCAAGATTTTCCTGGGCTTTGCGTCACATGATGGACCTCATTAACTGTGTTTATATGCCTGGCACAAAAAGTACTTTGGTACTTAAAATAATAATCTGCTAGTGCTAACAAATGCACCATTGGTTTATGTAAAGTTTAAAGCCCATTGGGATTTTCAGTTTAAATTAGCTACATCCATTCCGGGTGCATTGAAACAAAAGGTGTACAAAGTCTTCCATTTTATTTTGTTTAAAAAAACTCAACCACAGCCTTGGTAGAAAACCCTGTCTCCTGCCAGCATGCGGCAGAGAGGAACCCTTGCTCTATGAGAAAGCAGTGGTCTCTCTGCTAAGTTAGAGCCAGAGCTCTCCAATCAGCAGGGAGCATGAGCTTTGCTAATTGCAGAGCTAGAGGTCTCTTTTAGCAGGGGGTGTGTCAGACCTCTGTCGAGGGACCACTGCTTCCACACAGAGAGCCAGGGGACAAGCATGCTGCAGAGTGTACATCACAGGTGCAATGCTCTGGCTCCTGCATACTCTTCTTCCTGTCCCTGTCCATATGGAGGCACGAACATTCAGCAAACATGGACTCAAGGAAGGACTACAAATGCGGTGATATCACTGCACTTGTATTCCATTGAGATCCTCAAGTACCTCTGCCGTGGTGGCACAAATCTGACAAAGATCTCTGAATGGATGATGTGGATATGCAGGCAGAGCCACGCACAACCATGCCAAATTTAAATTGTGACAGGAGCCTGCAGGTAAAAGAATCCCAGGATTCAGGTAAATGACAGGTGGGGTCAGTCTACAAAAAGTGATATGCTAATTATAGTTGGAGCCTGCTGGCCAAAGTCAGCTTCTGGATTCTTAGATACCCCAACAGTGAGAACATCCTACCATAACTCCTGGCTCTGTTCCTGTCCATCCGGTAGTTTTTGTTGCTCCCGCTCCTTCTGTTACATCCTCCATAATATAAAATAAATATAAAATCCAGCAGACACAATGGAAGCCCATCATAATGGGCACAGCGTGTGTGCAGACCAGAGAACTCAACACAGGTATCTCACCTATGGAGTCCCTGACAGAAGAAACTGTAGGTGGTTTAACTCTCTTGAGTCTACCAAACATGGAAACATAAGGTCTGGGTGGACTCGTGCAATCTGAGCCAATTAGGCTAGTTGCACATCTGCTGAGCAGGGACATGCTGACAGGAGGAGAGAGATGACCTCATCAGTCATCTTCTGCTGGTCATTGTCCAATCACAAACTAAAGGCAGGGAGGTGACCAAGCCACATCTTTAAATGCAGCATCGAAATGTGAGGTCGCAGGCTATCTGTGCGGTCTGGTAGGTCTGTGTAAATGCGAGTTCTGAATTACAAATTCTTTGGTGGATAAAACAGCTCACATATATGAATTTCAACTGTGTATTTAACAGTTTAGGCAGAGAAATGCTAATCAACTTTATTAATATCTCGAGCTGAACCCAGGACAAGCATGCAGTTAATGTCAAATCACATGCAAAACCTCAATGCAGGAATCA